AAGTCAACTACCTTTTGTAGCCATTGCTGCAGCTGGGGGCCCGAGCTGCCGAGCTGCCGGGCTGCCGGTCTTGGCCAAAAAAAAAAAAAACAAAAAACAATCCGCAAACAAAACCTTGATTTATGCGCACATCCTTGCGCACAAGCCAAACATTTATTTCCTTATCCACTTGTGCCAATGCGATTTGGCCAGCCAGCGTCTTGGCCCAGGCCAGCAGTAAAACTTACAGTTAGCAGACATTGAAATGGACACACACACGCACACACACACACATGCTGGGGGCAATCAAATGAAAGCAAACTAGCGCCTGCTCTAACTGCCATTGTCAATTGTTGTTGTTGTTGTTGTTGATTCTGTTGCTGCTGCTGTTGCGGCTTCTGGTCAGCGCGTGTTGACGATGATTTAGTATTATGTTGCTGCAAGGATTTAGTCGTGTACTCGAGCGTGTCTGCACCGCGTCCCATTGGCCGCATCCTGTGCATCCTGGCTTTATGCAACCTGCAATCAGTGTTGAGTGCTTTGTTTCGAATGGAGTGAAAAGAAGCTAACAGCAAAGGGATCTGTTTATTTTTACGATTTACATAGAAATACACATTATCGAGAACTATCGAGAACGAATCTTGTTCAAAGGGATATCACTTTTTGGATTCATCGAGATTTGCGATTCACTATCAAGATTCGACTGTATATTGCTAGTGCAAAGTATATGAGTTATCGATATTTAAGTTATCGATACAAGCCAGCTGTTGAAATGTTCTGTACGATTTCTCATATTGTCTTCTGCAAAATCCAATCAGAAGTTCGCAATGAAAGCTCTAAAGTGGCTTATCAACTCTGGATATATAAGCCTTTAATCTCTATCTATTATCGATCTATGTTTTCCATGTTTGAAATTCACATTTCCATAGCCGCAAGAGATTCAAAGACTCAAGAGATTCTAGACTTAAATGAGTTCAGAAAGTAAGAGTAGAATATCTAAAAATTTCAAGTCCCAAGTCTTAAAGCTCACATATCACTATCAATTCGGAAAGATCTATAAATAAACCTTAAGAAACTCCCAAAAATAAAATTTTCCCTTAGTTTTATATTTTGCCCGCCAATTTTGGCTAGAAAAAAGCCATATCCTTAAGCAACGCTGTCTGCAACCTGCTTCAGCTGTGTTTGCTATTTGCTCAACTTTGATACATAACCTTGAATGCGGTTCGAATGTGGTTTGAATGTTTGCCTTGCATTCATCTCAATCTCAATGCGGAATGAAGTTTAGTTTGCTTCAGTTGAGTAGAGTTCGTCCGGCAGCAGAAGCAGCAGCAGCAATGCATTGCAACTACTGTTTGCTTATTTGTACAAATGGCTGCTCGTTGTCTGTCTGCATGCGTCTCTTTCCTGCCATCTCTCCCCCTCTCTCTCACTAAGTCTCTTTCAGTCTATCTGCGTGTGTTCATAAATTCTGTGACTGCTGCCGTCTTTGGAATGTGTTGCTAAAAATTCTAGATAAATGATCTTTTGTCGCTGTGCGCGCGTAGATATTTTAATATTTTTGCCTTGAAACTTGTCTAGCAGAGTAAAAGTCCTTGACTAAGGGCAAATCAAGTTCATGGCGAATGCAGCCAGCAGCCAACAGCCAACAGCCAGCAGCTGCACTTTGCTAATTCCATAAACACTGCCAAAGCGTCTGAGCTCTATGGCTCTGGCTCTGACTCTGACTCTGACTCTCTGGCCAAGCAGACGCCGCGTGCCTGGAATGTTGCACACAATTTCGTGTTGCATACTTTTGTGCGCTTCCTAATCCAGGCGAGAGAGCAACTGGAGTTAGCTCCTGCCCCGCCTGGCTTATGCTGCACACAGCCAACACATATGGTTCACATTCACGGCATGACTTGGCTAACAAGCCTCTTCGATGTTGCCTTATTAATGACCTAGCATAATTGTGCAGAGTTGTGGCTAAGACTGCGGCCACAGTGGCTAAAGAGCATTGAAGAATCTATTGGAAATAGTCAAATGTGAGCTACCTATGTTAGGCATTAAAGTTATTAAAGTTCATATGTTATATACATATATATTTTATGTATTATTACTAACTGCTTAGTTTATAGTTTAAATTTGGTATCTTGAGTGCCCAATAGATTAAATGTAAATGTAAGATGTATGAGGATATACGTATAGGTATACAATAGAATCCGGCTATAACGACGCTCAAAGAACCTTCGCTAATCGTCTAGGTTTGCTCATAATAGTTTGGGGACCAGCACTTTCGTCGCTATAACAGTACAGACACTTTAAGCGGAGTCGTTGTAACTGGATTCTGCTTATTATAAAGATATATTTACATATATAAATTTACTCAAAAGCTTTCATTCTCATTCAAATACTATGCGTATATCAATTCATAGCGATAAGATACTATCGTATACATCAGCTATATCGATTTTGAGCTGAGAAAGAATATTATATAGTCGGTTGAGCTTAGATAGTTTCTATCTATATATTCATTATTCTCAAGATGTATATCATATATTAATGAGCAACATTTATAACTTGACCTCATAGACATTTAATTCATTTTGATACGAATACTATCGTATACATCAACAATATGAATTTAGAGCTGGGGAATAATAGTCTTATATAGTTAGTTCAGCTTAACTCCAAACAATTCATTGGATACATTTATTAAAATTCAAACATGTATTTCATGTATGTCTGCTCAACATTTATAGCTTATAGTTTTTCACCACAACCCCGTAGACTTTTGCCCCACTGTGCTGTGTGCGCGGCGCTCGCTTTTGACTGAAATTAACACGAGGCCACTAAGCCGCAAGCGCTGGCACAAAAGAAAAACTAATTTTCTGCTGCTGATTTCAAATTAACTGAATGAATGACTGAGTGAATGCGCGACTGAGATAAGTACACGCATATATCTCGCTCTATACATACTGACATACATACATATGTACATATATGTATAGCTAGTATATCTAGTTAAATGCCATAATGATGGCAAAAAGCCAGCCAGCGAGCGGTGTCTGAGTTTTCGCTCATGTTTCATTGGGATTTGCGGCAGTGGCAGCGGCTTTTACATTATGTTTACGAATTCAATTTAAGTATAGCTATATCTATGTATATATGTATAGATGTTATATGGTTGGCCATTCAGGAAGCTGATGTCCGTATTTGGCCTGCAGCAGCAGCAGCTGCGCCCGTAATTAGGCAACGGCAATTACCTGACTTGTCCATTGGCCAACTCACACCATCATCGAAAGTTGGGCCAATAAAAACGCACAACTTTTCTACCAAAACGCATTAAAGGCCATGAATTTCAATTGCTATGTGCACGCGCGCCATCTCACCACCTCAGCGTCTCACCACCCCACCACCTGCCCAGGTGCTGTGCGTAGCTGTCTTTGGCTTATGAATTTTCATCAGCAGAACGGCTATGTGAATTTTTATGCCTTGTACCCTTTGAAAATGCGAGAATGGGGTATATTTTTGTTAGGTATGCTTGAAACAGTTTAATGGGGGCGTGGCCTAAATGTTGTGGATGGCTGAGTTTAGGTAGAATTCGGAACTATTGAATACTAGAAAGCCTTCTATAGACAGCTCACACTACATTTTGTTGCTGTTATCAACTTGCTTTCGATAAAGATCGATATATCGATACTACAAATTTTGTAGATTCTCGATTCTCAGCTGAGAGTCTTCCATGACTAGGTTATCCTCATCAACTCAATATAAAAATGTTTCTCAAATTTTTAAAGTACTTTTAGGGTATGTTTTAGTCGTATACTCTCCATTACAGCTTTCTTTCTTGCTATATCCCGGCTTGTGCGCTGCTTGCCAGGCGCATTAAATTTTTATTGAGCTGAGAGCAGCAAGTGTCTTTGTCACATCAACCACACACACACACACACACTTACACATACATAGTCATACTGCTACACCCACACATCTATACTCTAAGCTTTAATGCTGCGCACACACATATTTATTTGATTTGATTTAATTTTTGTTTCGCTTTTTAATTAAAATCGTCTTTATTGTTGAGCGTTCCACGCAGCTTTATAGGCCCCATAAGCATGCCTGTTTGACACCTAAGCAGCGCCTTAAATATATGTATATATGCAATATATATATATTGTATCGTGTAGCGCGTTTTTGGTGTATTACTTAGCAACTCTCTGATGTCGCATGTAGTGCAAACGAATCGAGTGGTTTTTATGCGGGGCCCAGCAATTATATGATTTTTATGCTTCGCTGCCTTTTGGCCAAAATGAAAAAGAAAACGCGTCATTTGAAACCTGCGTCTATTTGCTTTTAACTAAATCTGTAAACCAAAACCAGGGCTGCGTGAAACTAAAGAGCGTGTAGATAGTAGATACACCTAGTCTATATATATATAAATTAATAAAATGCTATCTACTAACAATTCCAGACGAAAAATTAATACTTATCGATTTTAGGCACAACAAATAGAAACAGACTTTCTAAATTATTTTCAAGTGTGATAAATAAAAAATAAAGTGCAAATTTTCTCTTTTGATTGAATCATAAATTATTTGTAATAATACATATGTATATACACAGTCGCGTCTCGAAATGACAGGGGAATTATTATTATTTTTTTTTTGTATTCGATTTACACAGAATTTCACATTATCGAGAACGATTCTTTTCGATTTTCGATTTAACTAACGGGCTGCAAATTATTGACATTCTATTGTATCTATATATACTTAAGCAATTGTCAAGTCCTACTTTCGTGTAACTGAGTCAAGCAGCCCTGGTTTTTTTTATTACAAACCCAAAAAGCCTCAAGTTAAGTGTGTCTCAGCACTTGAAGTGCTCAGCCGCAAAACAATTTGAAAGCTAAAAAAAATATTCTTATTGCTTTTATGGTGCGCTCTGTGTCGACCGCAATTGGGTTTAATGTAATTTGATTGATATTAAACTAATACCTGGACTAATATACGTACTATATATCTGTCTCTGTCTGTATCTTACAGTGATCAACAAGGGACAGGGCGAGACGTGTCGCTATCGTTTTCTCGGCAAATACGGTGGCTACTGCTGGATCGTGACTCAGGCAACGATTGTTTACGATAAGCTAAAGCCGCAGAGCGTTGTCTGCGTTAATTATGTCATCAGGTGAGTCGATTCGTTACGACAGTTTTTCCACAACTAACAACACCCATATCGTATATTATAGAGTATAAGTTGTAAGTCTATTAATGAGCCTAAATGTGAGCTGCCTGTATAGAACAATGCCAAATATTTGCTCATGATTAAGTGAGCCTTGAATTTAATTAAATGATGGTAATTTGTGTTGCCTCAAATTTATAATTAATCAAGCGTATTTAATTTCCCGTTGCCAAAATATTTAAGCATCTCCCACCCACACACACACACACACATACACTCCCGCAGACAATTTGAAGAATGCCTTGTCATGGCATGGCACTGTCCCAGCTCAAACCCCGCTAACGAACAGCCACACAGCATCCGCAGTCGCTTCATTGAACTGCAAACGGCACAGGGACACACGATTTCCATACAGACGCACACAACATTTTTCCAACTGCGTTCGCAGTTTTTTTTTTTTTTACTTTACTTTACTTTTTTTTATTTCCTTTGAAATAATTGTGTCAGTCAGCGGCAGGCCGCAGTCATTGGAATTGATTTGATTTGATTTGCTAATCTGTCTTTATTGATACCCTGTATTGATAATGAACGGAAGGTAAGAGTGAAGCTGCTAGAGGCAAAACTTTAAGCTGAGCCTATTTCAATTTATTTTTATAATGATTAGTAAAGATATGCAAATATAATACTCCGTAATTTCTTAGGCAGTGCCAATGCTTAACATTCATAAAATCCTTAACTTTTGCCTGAGTATTTATAGCTTAGGGTATCTCTACATTCCTTCACTTTAACTTCTATATAGAGCATCTTTCAGTCATTACGCTTTCATATTATAAACCACAAGAATTTTTGTCAGCCTGCTTTAAATTTCCGTCAATCGATTGAGTGCGCGCCTGACAACATGGCGTATACTCAATCAGAAAATAAAATTAACATTTTTACTGCGGCTTACAAATTATTTCCGAACTTCTGTAGGCTGGCCCATAGCCTCCTGCCTTACCCAGCGTTTCTTCTTTATGCATATTTATGTGCTGGCCTCACTTTAAATTCGTCTCTCTCTTTTTTTTTTATACCCTTTTCGCCAAGCCTGCCGCACGCATTTATGAATAATATAATACATATATATATGTATGTATGTAAAGAAATTTTATTTTATGCATCTGTTAATGTTTTGCCTTCATTATGGAAATTGTTTATGCGCTGTACGTGTGGAGTTACTTCAAAGGGCGACTTGAGCCTCCGCATATATCGCAGAAACTGTCCGTTATAGGAAATCCAAAATTAGAAAATGCTTTAAATTCGTTAAATTTATGAATATAAATCTAACTAAAGTTGCAAAAATCGATAAGCGATTAATACTAGAAAATAACAAGAAATATGTAGTGAATACCATAATTTATAATAATAATAATATATATAAAATATGGTGTTCATATATCGTGTATAATATATATACGATAATAGTTCATAATCGATTGAGAAAGTCGATTGTTAAATCGATTGCATTTTATTAAAAATATGCTGGAAAATATTGTAAACAGAGTTAAATCGTTTATTAAAATAATCGATTAGTGACATAGTGAAGTATATAGTATATACTATACTATAGTATCGTTCGTTTTCATAATCGATAGACAATATTAGAGGCGTTCCTTTCTTTTTATCATTTTAAGCATACAATTAATATACATGCCTCCCTCTAAATTATTTTAATTGATTTCGGCAAATCGATTGCCAATCTCTACACACTCACGCCCAATTATCGATTATAATAAAGAGGTGCCTTCACATTAAGATACTAGCTTCAGTAATTCATTTAGTTTGTCTACTCTGCTGTTGTGTGCTGTAGTTACTCACGTGCCGTATTACGCTTTTCCAATTGTCTGTATCAAGTTTCCCAGCCAGCAAACTGCTCGCATTTTCCTTTTTGTTTCAGCTAGCGGGTAAGTATTCAATCATTAAGTATTTATTTCTGTTAAAATTAAGCGTTAATGAGCAAATATTTGTGCATTGTTTTGTTTTGGGCCGATTTCCGGTTCTCGCTGTGCGAGTCGCAACATGAAAATGTGCTTTTAATTGCCATTTCAGTTGAATGTTCTGACGGGGGTTATTATATTTCAGTATATTTTGTTTGTCCACCCACCCAAAAAAACAAAAAACAAAAACCGAAAAAAAAAGAAACGGATGACCACGCGCCGTCAACGTTTGTCAGTTGTGTTTTTTGTTTGCTTTGCGGTTGTTTAAATTATTTATATAATTATTGGCTTCAACGTGGTCATCATCATTAGAGAACAGAATCAGCTGTGTTATACCTTAGTCTTTAAATAACTCTTGTTAATTAAAGTTAATTATTTAGTTAGAGCTCGAGTGACGGGAGTACGTGTTATATTTCTGGCTTAAATTTGAATATAATAATGTCTTACTAAGCAAGATTGGTATAAATATTAGTAGTATATATATAGTAGTATGCTTATATCATATAGATATATACATATTTGCATTTACCATTTACATATATTATTTGTATAAACTGAGAAATTAATTCCACATTTCATGTGATACCTAATTTGTACTTGGAATTTGTAATATAATTTCTGACTGATCCGCTGATAAGATGGGAATACCCTTTTGTTTATTGTTATCTATATTCATCTTTCAGCAATTTGCTGCTAATTAGTTGATACATCTCAATTAAATAAAGTAACACATAAATGTTGCATTCAAGTTATAAATTTTTGCTGTCGGCTTTATTAATGCTTTGTGAGTCTTAAAAGTCTATTTAGGTCAGGTGACTTTTCTAGTTTATTTTTTTATAATTACTATTAAATTTTGGGGAACGCTTTTGTTAGTTGCTCGTATAGATCAAATGATAATTTTTAAATTAAAAAAAAAATTCAAGAGTAATGCATACTCTTCTGGAGAAATGTACTTATTAATGACTGGGAATACCCCTCATATGTTTATATGATCGATAGATTGTGCAATTGTTCAATAACTGTTTCTACTCCTTAATGTATTTGATTGCTTGGCATTGCCTTTACAACTTCAAACTCCAAATGTATTTGTAAATTCTCAAAATTGTAAACAAATTGAATGCAAAATAATTCGCGGTTGTGGGCATTTGAGTAATGTTCAATTTTATTGGCAGCTATTGTTCTACTTGTGTTTGTTGTTGTTGGACTAATTGAAAAACAAAATTACGACAGCGAACAACGGAAGAGATAAGAGACAAATACTCTTGGCCTCTGTACCAATGCCAAAAAATGCAAAAAATACGAAGAAAGAAAGAAAAGCAGAGCATTGACAGCGCAATTTTCTATTTGATTTGCCTGTGCTTACTTGAGGCCCTCTCTGTATTGGGTATATGCTATCTATAAGGTACTACGAGCATTGAACTGTGTGCGTGTGTGGATGTGTGTGCCACATATTACTTTTACCTGCTGCTGCTGCTGCTAATGAGCCACATTTCTTGGCTAATGAGTTTTGGCAGCGGCTCAAGGCCGTGGCAACTGCAAATCAAATACATTCAATGAGTATGCGTAATGGCCATGGCTTCTACAAGGCTATTTATGGCCGATATGTCGCAGTTGTAATTGCTGCTAGGCTTAGCCCTCGCAATTTCGACCTGATGAATTTAATTAAAATGTCACACAAAACATGTACAAATTATGCAAAGTCAGGATAGGGAAAGATAAAAGCTAGCTAATGGGTATAATCGACTGCTAGATACACTCTGTGGTAACAGAATGTGAGAGAAGAGCGATGGGTAATATGACTCCAAAAAAAGCTGTCAAAGACAGCATAGAGAGGCCAAGTTGAGATAAATGATATAAGTTTGTGTAGGTTAAAGGAGAGTGGAGTGTGAACATGAGTATAGGTTATCATGTATACACTACGGACTGCTCAATACTCGGTCTTTAACAAAAATATCCTGAATTGAGTAAAGGAAACCCATATAATATATATATATAGGTAGGGAGTTCTAGTAATAATATAGTAAAATCATGTGGTTTAGATTATAATAAAAGCCAAAAGAGTTCCCAAAGTAAGAGATCAAAGATATGGAATCAGACATACTTCATACCTCATGCTTCCCTTCTTCATTTGACAATCTAACTTAACAGATCTTTATATAGTTTCAGCACTAAGAAAACTTTCTCAACATTATTTCTGTCTCATGTCCTCAAGACTTCAAATATGTTGGGACTAGCTAGAGGTACCCTTGAAATTAGTCTGAAATTGTCAGGCGTGTGCTAATTAACATTGATTAGTTTGGTGAGGCACCAAAAATTTGCATATTTATAGCGCGTGTTGCATAATTTTAGGCGGCTAAGCGAGCGAGAGCTGTCCTTAGGGGCTGTTGTCGCTGTCGTCGTTGTTGTCGTTGTTGTTGTTGTAGTTGTCGTTGTCGTTGTACTTTGTTGATTTATCGAATGTGGCTTGGGCTTAAGGCTGCTCTGCTCTGCTTCCTCTTAGTCTATTTTGCTGTGGTATTAATGGAATTTACACGAGTTCTTAACACTTTGGCCAAATAAAAGCGAACAAAGTTTTTTAAGCTTGGCTAAAAGGGCCTTTTGCCGCTGCCTCCTCCGCCTCCTACTCCTCCTTCTCCTGCTAGCTGGCTGACTGGCAACAGCGGGCGTCGGCAATATTGTGGCTAAAAATTAAAACAATAAATTTAAGCCAAGTAACACAGCAACAACAACAACAAAGAAAGTCCCAAAAGGCATGAAGAAAGAGAGAAGAAATCATTGCATAATTTTTTTTTTGGGCAATAAAAGTGTCCCTTTTACAGTTGCCATAAAAGTCAGTGCGGAATCCCATTAAGCAGCCATTCAATTAATTTAAAGTGAGGCACAACGCTTAATTATAGACGAATCGAAGCTTTGTGGGAAATATAAATATGTATATATATAGAGAGAGTGAGAGAGATAGAGCGACAGTTTGCTATATATTGTGTACAACATGTCGTATACGCAACCTGATGAACCCACAGAAATTCAATCAAG